TACACACACACGTTTTCATCTACACACACACGTTTTCATCTACACACACACGTTTTCATCTACACACGCACGTTTTCATCTACACACGCACGTTTTCATCTACACACGCACGGTTTCATCTACACACGCACGTTTTCATCTACACACGCACGTTTTCATCTACACACGCACGTTTTCATCTACCCTCTCGCTATCTCTCTCGCACTCACGCCCTCTTCACTCATACACATACAGGTCTTCTTTCTTTCTCTCTCACACACACATTCACCTATCCACACTCACACCATCCACTCATCCTCACTATCCATCCACCCACACCCACACTCACACCATCCACTCATCCATACTATCCGCCCACCCACACCCACACATTCTGACTTCACTTTAATCTTACATACACACGTTCATCTACGCACACACACCTCATTTTCGTACACACACACACACACACACACACACCTCTTTCTCATACACACTCACCTCTTGTACACACATCTGCCTCTACTGTTGCTGCTGCTACAAACCCTCTTACCACTACCATCACCACTAGCTTTAAGCAATCACTCATGATTCCGATGAATAATGTTGGCAGGAGCCGAATATCATGAAAGAATGACAACTATCTTGGTTTTCGGGAGAGGTTGTGTAACGTTTTTTAATTGCGATTATCAAGACAAACGTGATTTGTCATTTTGAAATTCCTCCGTAAAATGTTTTTATTAGTAGACATTTCCTGTTTCAAAATGAATTCTACCACTATGCACAGTTACTTCACAGCAATGCGCTGATCTATTTCTCTACCAATATTTTGCTGTTTGTTCTACAATCTTGTTGGGTTTAGAAAAAAATACCCTTGAAGTTATTGTACAGAGAATGTATAAAAAAGAAAGATGAAATGATGTCAAGAATAAATTGAATTTCTTGATAATTTCCTCAAATCTTTACGTTCCTTCTAAGTTTTTAAAAATTACGATTATCTACTTCCTGAAAATGAATGGCAGCTTAAAGAAAAAATTAAATAATAATCAACTCATAGATCAGTACGGAAAATCTACATAAATGTATTCAGATGTTCATGTTCTGTCGTTTCCACATCGTCTAATTGTGTCGATCAATCATTGCCTATAATTAAATGTACATTATACAATATGAAACACTCAGTAATATCAGTCACATTAATAAAATTTTGCCGTATTTTCGCAACATGTTACGAACAGATAAACTCTTCTCGTTTTGGGTTTTACCCAAATTTGAGCAGAAGTATTAGTTTTAAATCAGTTTTTAAAATATATACTGTATCTTATACTCCCGAGCCCTGATTAAACTTTTAAAAAATATTCCAGAATAGGTCAAAAACGTACGTAATTTGTTAATGATTCCAATTGTTTATTAAAAAGTAAAGTGGAAGGTCCAAAAATAATAGAATATAACAGATGTAAAAATATACATTTTAAAACTATATTATTATTACGTTGAACCAAAGTTGAATGCCAAGTCTATGTTTGCCAGTTTTAAATTATTGAAGAACGCAAAAATGTTTAGGCGACTACAATATTTAATTTTTCTTATGAAATACTTGTATTTACACAAAAATATTTATTGGCCATAAGCATGTGTACAGCTAGATGGAATTATTAGTTCGTGATGAACGTAACATAAAAACGTAACATTTCAAAGGAAGAGGTACGTGGATGAATAAAAGAAAATGAATCAACTAAGCAGATATAAATGGCACCCTAATTTTAGATACATATTCGGCATTTGTTTTGCGTGATTGGCCTTCACTTCGCGTTGTAGACTCTTTTTATACTGCGTTAGATCATAATGTACCACCCATTTTTATGCGTTATTTGTGAATTTCTATGTTTAAAAAGGGGGGATCCTTCCAAAATTTAATTACGAAATTAGATTTACAAGAAAGTTCTTGATTTTTTTGTTTTACCACGTCTTAAAAGGGTAAAAGTAGATTGCAGCTCCGTTGTCTAACGATATTTCTCCACTTCCCTTTTGACAGGCAGAGCTTTGTTCGTCGCAGAAACGTCCTTCACTGTGCAATTATTCCTCGTTCTTGTCTTGCGTGCCGACCTGTCAAGACGGAGTGCGTAATGAACATTTGTCTACCCGTCCTTTGCGCCTACGCCCGAAAGGCCTTGACCTCGGCGGTCCTCTGACAGGCGGAAGCCATTTCACTGCACTGCAGGCAAATTGAAAACAACCGTTGTACCGTTCATTACCATAACCTTCGAGAAATCGCTCAATTTTCTATACTAGTAATCGCGAAAAACGTTCTGGAAAACTGAAGAAAAAATTTGAAACGTAAGGGATGAATACACATGCAACAACAATACAATAGTATGTGGCTAAATGCTAAATAGCTAATTATTGGGAAAAATAATTCATATCTGCACTAACCAAGACAATCTGTTTTTAGATCCTATTTAATTTCAAAGTCTTGAACACTTGAAAATCTAAACACGATCCATAAAAATTCAAACAATAGTCACCCATTTCAAGAAGGTTGAAGGATTCTCCACGTCGTCCTACAAATATAAAATACCAATAGTAAATCATTGTATAATAACTATGACATTGATAAATATAAATATAAAATATTCTAAACCTCTTATTTCTGGAATACATTATTGAAAACGATTGAAAATTCGTTAACTGAAAACTGGCTTGTTCGCTGATTTTTCGTTCTTTGACTTCGTACGTAAATTCTTGCGTTATTTGTAACTTTTGAAATTTTTGAAACTTCCGAGAGTTCAATGAAAATGACGTTTGGGCCCCTTTTTTACAAGAGTGCTTCACTCCATTCGAGATCAGAAATTAAAGAAAATTTTGGAGGGTTATTTGAAAAATTATATTTTTTAATTGCCTGCGTCTTAACGAAGATTAAGCGTAAACTACTCTTATGTTTAAAAATCGTATCTGACTGTATTTAAAGATTTATTTTCTTTTTTAAAACAGATGTAATGAATAAAGAAAGTTATATCATCAGTGATGTAGTTTTGCAATGTTATTTATTTGTATTTTTCGAAATACAGTTCACCGAAAATTATAACTCCACAATTTTTATAAGCGTACATTGCTCTATCCGAGAAAAAAAAGAATTGGTGGCCACTACGGGAAAATTTGAAAAGGTTAAAACTTCATGTAAATTACCTCCAGAATCAAAATATCCGTTTCGCAAAATACCGATTTTAGAAAAAAAAATGATTGAACAATTTAATCGCTGGGGTTGACCACATACAAACTGAAGGACAGACAGACAGACGTATGTTATACCGAAAATCAATTTTTCAGTACCAAGAACACACAAATTTGAATTCCGACTACACAACGTGTCAAAGAAAGAAATTTATTTCATCTGAAAACACGATTTCTATATCAGGGCCCTATAATGATTTATTCTAAAGTAAAATCGTCACATCCTGATATAGGATTACAACATTTCCTTTATTCCAAGTAAAGCTTCAACAATTTCAGACAACTGAGTTTATTCACGCATGAGCTATTAGTATACATATTTTATCAATCTATACAGCATCTTCATCTCTTTGGCAAGGTTTCGGAGTATTCCTTGACTCCATCTTCAGGCTATACGAGTATACCACACGTATCGTATACCACACAAAAACATGACAAAAATTATATATACAACAACAACACATATTACTATTTTCAAATTGTAGACATACCATAAAACAATTCCAATTAAAATAAACTATTTTCAATAAAAACTCACCATATTACGATGTAGAAAAATGTTCATTAATAAATCAAATATCATTTTCTTAAAACATTATGAGTAGATTTCAACTGTCACAAATCTAAATAATATGTGATACATGTAATTTCATATGTACAAACAGATTATCAGCACTGATGTGCAATATAACACATAAGGAAAATGTACTCACTTAACATTTCATCGGCACATTCGTACCTACGTCAGTTAGATTACTATATACACAGAGAGGCAATGTGTACATTGCAACAATACTGTTCACACACACCATACTGTTCACACACCATACTGTTCACACACCATACTGTTCACACTCCATACTGTTCACACTCCATACTGTTCACACTCCATACTGTTCACACTCCAT